CACACACACACACACACACACACACACACACACACACACACACACACTCACACTCACACTCACAAAAATCCTTCCTGCACAGTATTTGCCCAAAATGACCTTCTTTCACATAAAAAAACACACAAAAGTTAAAATACATACAGTATCTCAAGCAGCGAAAATAAGAATGGATGAAAAGGGTAAACAGTTGAGGGTGCTCCATGTGCAACCCATTTTTGGAGTCCACGCTTGTAAAAACATACAGCATTCAAATTGTGTTAAGGTGCCACTGTGGCCAGAGGAGTCTTTGCGGAGTGGCAGCTAACCTGGGGTCTCCTGACACGATGATTGTCACTGAGGCGGGTGCTGGGATGGCCTGCGGCGCTACGAGGCGTTGCTCTTGAGGTGTTGAGTTTGCAGCGGCTTCACGTGGTACTCGTAGATTTTCAGCGCAGGGCCGAGTTTTATCGACAGTCCCGTCAGGACGTCGTTGCGCGTCATTAGCAACAGGGACTTGCCATCGATTTCCTGTCAGGCGGAGAGAGAGACGTATCAGACCGACTCTTAGTTTATTTTCATCACGAGCAGGAAGAGAACACCAACCTGATCCTGAAAAGCAGTGGCTTGCTCCTCAAACCCTGTTGCTTTGAAGTAATCGACGACGTCGGCGACCCCCCAGTTGGCGGGGTCCGGCAGCTGGCCGTTCTCCACTGGGCTGTGGAGTCACAGTGAATGCGTTCATCTTAATGTGCATGCACACTCAGCTGTTTAACACATTCTTTCAAATCTTTTAATAAACAATGTCTGACACTAATTGGATGTAATACCTTTTGGTGTCAACAGAGCCATTTGCCTTGTCTTCCATGCCAGCTGTAAGAAAATAAACACAATAATAATCATCGAACAAACCGTCATTACAACATGTAGCAACTTCAAATCAATGTTCAATATTCACCACAAAAGTCACTTTCAACAGCGTTAAAAGTCTTTTCTCCACTGGTTTTAAAGTACACAAAAGTCAGCATATTAGCTTTTTCTGGAACTTTCAACAAGTTGTAAACTCAAAAAAACTCGTTAAATGTTGTTGAAAGCTACAAAGACTTAACCTCAACTGTGAACTGCTATTGCTTGTTACAATTGTTAATTGAAACTATGACAGTTTGAGAGTAAAATATTCAATCAAATTACAATAAATTATTTGCAACACTAAATAATTGTTAGTTGCAGCCCTACAAAACGGGCAATACAACATGTATCAACGTGAAACACAATAACAAATTGTTCCTCAAATAACTTTTTTTCCACAGATTTTACATAAGCGAGAAATACTGTACACTGTGTATGCAGAATCTTCAACAACTATAATGTAATTAAAATGTTGTGCATAATTTCACACACATGTTTGGTGTCATTAAAAAGTCATACGCTAATTTGGATTTTGGGATATTATGAGTTTAAACAGTGCTTGGTCACAAAACAGTTCACGATGAAGCTACCTAAAGGGTCTGAGGAGTTTCTGCTGCATTGGACAAATAGTCAAAACAATTTAACTTTGGACTAAAAGCTTCCTAACAACACGAACTGAGGTTTTCTTTGAAACAGAAACCATGCTTTGGATAAACTGCTGGTGACCAAGGAAAGCTTGTGCTTTCATTGAGCCAACGCAGTTTGAAGTTAAAGCACTAATCTTAGCCATAAACAGGCTAAACGAGTCTCTTACAATCTGTAACGTTGCAGTAATTTTTCATCAGATGTCTTCTCTCGGAGAGCTCAGTGGGTTGGCAGCTCAAACACCATTGTTTCTCTTTCGCAGTCTTGGGCATTCACTGGGTATCCTCACTGCAATAACAGTAAATAAGTACAGGTGTTTAAACAGTGAAGAGACGTACAACCACAACACAGCTAAAGACCAGAACAAAGCTAACGCTGGTATTGTATCGATAACTGACAGGAGGGATGCACTCACGTTGTTAGCTGGATTTAAAAATAGCAGAATAACGTTATGAAATTGCATTAACTGACACGTAACGTTACATAAATAAAGTGAAAAGGAGCAATACAACACAGCACAATAATGAAATAACGTTATGATGGCGACAGCTGATATTTAATCGCCGCCTCTTCGTATTTGGTATTAAGCTAACAGGGATAGTTAGCTGGGTTTGCTAATACAGAATTTAACGTTACCTTATTTTAGGTGATTCCTGCTTGACAACAACAGTGCGTCCAAGCTACGCACGTACGTTGGATAACAAAAAAGTTTTCCAATCACTGAGATATTTTACTAATAATTAAACGGCGGTATTCATTTGATAGAATCAAGATTTAATCAAGTAAAGGCAACTAGCCCTCTTCATCGGTTTAGCTTCCTTCGCCCACATGACAGCAGAGAATCATGGGAAGTGGAGTTTTTACAGTTTTACCGCCAGCATCCGCAGTTCAGCATGATCACTGCAATTACTACACATACAATATTTCTCATTACATTGAATACCGACAATTTTAGTTATAATAAAAAGAATTTATTATAGTGACATATCCTTTGTTACATAAAATCTGCTACAGCAAAGTATATTCCCCTTGCAAACACAAGTAAATATGGGTGGGAAAAACGTGTCAGCCTTCTAAATGATGTGAAAAATATCCCACGAACTAAATACAGACACATTTCAGATTATTGATCCCATACTGGCATGTGTGACTAGCTACGAAGAACTCATAAACTGATTTCCTTCAGTCAGGAGTGTGAAGTGCCATCATTTACTTCAAATATGACAAACATTATTACACACATGAGGGCTAAATAACACAGAAGAAGAGCTGTGGATTTCCTACACATTTTTCATGGGAAGATTTACACACAGGCAGTTTGGATAGAAACATGCTGAATTCCCAGGTGCAGTTCTCAAAGTTTGTCCAAATAAAAATGTCATCGATTCTGCAATTACATTCTGTTCATCCTTCAAACTGGGAAAATAATATTGGGTCTCCTTTTAAAAAAAAAAAAATAAATAAAAAAAAAAAGAAGTAATAAAATACAACAAAAAGGTTCAGAAAAATAAGAAAAAAAGTTAACCTAAAAGGCTACAATTTAAAATTGGTATGAGAGGCATCAATGTGTATTAACTGTTGAAAATATTTAAATTTCGATAAATGGTTTATTTTTCATAAGGGCAAATGAAAAAGTGGTACAAATAAATAACCCACTATATTCACTGTAGATTACACTTTTGTGAATAAAACTGTTGGAGTCTCCTTATGCATACTGAGAACTATGCAAGTTAAAACAATTAAAATGTAATTCTAATATAAATAAAAAATAGCACACGATACAGTTGCGCCTTTTGAAATGAAACTGGGGCTAAATCAAATGTCACACCATGTGTTCAATTTATGAAAATCATGAATTCAGGCATAGCCAATATCAATATACAGCACATCAGTATCTTAAAAAAAAGCATTCAGTCACCAAACCTTTTCCACATTTGGTTGTCTAAGATTGTTGAACTTGATTAAATTGCATTTTTCTCATCATCAGACACTTGAGCACCATGTCAAATAATGATCTAAACTTCAGAAGACTTGTTAAATTTAAAGACCGTCAGCAATGCATTATTGTTTCCAAAAGATGTGAAATGTAAAACTTTGATTTCCCCACAACCCTGAGTGTCCAACCTGCAGAAATGACTTCAAACTCTGACCTCCCTGTGGACGGCAGGGACAAACTTCCCTCTAGAAAATCCAAAAAAATAAAAAAATAAATGTTTTTTAAAAAAAATCAAAAAAAAAAAAAATCACAAAAGCAGGAGCAATCGGATCTTTTCTGACTTCTGGAAGTTCAACAAGTGGATACCGTGGCCTTGTAGGTATTGAACCTTTGACATACAGATTCTATAATCACCTGTTAAATACACATGTCAACCAGTCACGCCAGAGGCAGGGACTACATTTCAGCAGCAAAGAGCAGGCGATGTGTCCGAATTCAGGGGAAATGAGTGATGCTCTGTATAGAAAAATCCCTCATAAAACCTATATTTCTCTTGAGGGGAGAAAATATGTATTAAATATGTGTAGACAATAACTTAACAGGAGAGATTTACAATGAAAATGTTCTTCAAAAGTCAGACTCTTTTGACCTTATTCCCTTTGAAAATCTGTAACAAGACAAAAACATTTTTGTCTGCTGACGTTCTCTGACTGACCTGACTCAAAGGAAGGAAGAGTGAGCAAATATTGCTTCATCACAGTGTACAAATTGGTTAAAAATGATGCAAAGAGACTACAAGCTATAGTTGAGGTAAGTATGTTTCAACCAAGTGGTGACCAAGATGAATACTTTTCCGGTTATGATATTTCAATTTTCTGTTATTATTTCATGGTTAACTGTTTAGTTTTGCTTCCATGGGATCATTCAGAGGAACACGTCACTCAGATAAAATCTAAGATCTAATGCATCAACATCCCAGGCAATAAAACTATTTTAAAAACGGTAACAAAACACAACAACAACAAAAAAGATGGGAACATTTTCAGGGCACTATTAGCTTGTTGTGACACTGCTGTACAAACATGCAAAAGTAAAATTGAAAATAAAACAAATATGGCAGTTGCACAGTGTCTTCTCAGAGCGCTGTGTAAGCACAATTTACAAACAAAAATTGGAAAGAAACCCAGAACGGACAAGATATGTCCATGTGACCAACACTGCTTCGCATCCACAGCAACATACTCTTACGAAAATCTAACAAACTGATCTTTCAGCAATTATGCCACGGCAATACACTTCATGTATCGGACGTAACAAAAAAAACAGATGCCCCCGTTGTGTGGAGTGAACACCTTTAGTTTTCCTTCCTTGTGAAACAAAGAGTTGTACCTGAAAAATATATCATCTCATTCCTTTCATTTAATACCACACCTGGTCTGAGATGTGACCAGATATGGATAAAACAATGCTACAATTGACTGAATACAGCACTGACAACTTTCTGCTCCGTAATAACACTTGTCACTGTTAATTCACCTCTTCAAGAACTGAATGTCTGAGTGCTAAAACTCAGAAACTTCAAGAAGCCATCAGTGTTGCTGTTCTTTCACTAAGCACGTTTCTTTGTTTGGAATTTGGTCATGCTTTAACAACACCAAGTGTTTGAAAATTGGAAGTCTCTCTCATATATATATATATATATATATATATATAAAAAAAACACACTCATGTCATGAAACAGACGACATATAACTGGCAAGACTCAATGTCGGAAATGCAAACCAAAACAATCCCTTCTATTTTCCCGAAGCTTAAATCACAATATGTGCAATACCAGCTAATACAATCATTCACTCTTTGTGCCATTTAAAAATGGGAATAAGATTAGTTTTCATGTTGCTTTTCAAATAATTATTTGAATTGAAATAAGGAGCGGCAAACGAAAAAAAAGAAAGAAAGAAAAGACAAAAAATGAGAACGTGGTCTAGTATTTTTTGTGTTGCAGCACAAGGGGGTGTCTGCATAATGTGCCTGTGTATAGGATAGTGCTAACTGCACGCAGGATCATGGCAAGAAGGACCTCATTCAGCTGTGTGGAATGAAGGAACGAGGCTTTGTTTTGAGCACGCGATGGCCTCGGTTCCACCATAAACCCTCAGGAGAGTGCAAATATCCCAAAACATGCGAGCCCTGACGGGACTCTTGCCCATTTACTAGAACTCGGCAAACTCTTTTGCACACTTTTCTGTTTGTGAGACACGAATGTCCTCCTCTTCGTAATCGTCAAAGTTGCTCGTGTCTCCTGGACCTCTGCACTTTGGCAAGAAGGGAGCTTCGACCTAAGAATGAGGAAGAAATAAAGGAATTGTTTTCTGATTATTGATACAAAAATGCTGTGTTAATTTTATTCACGAAAACTATGACAAAACTATGACAAAATATGATGAACGTATATTTTTGCTTGTTGGGCTCTCATAACGGGCCGCTCCTCATAACAAGGCTCCACCAATAATCATTCAACCTGTGTTTTTTTTTTTTTTTTTTTTTTTTTTTAAAAAAAAAAAATCAGATAACGATAAGAAATAATCCAATATAAAATAAGTGTCACTAAATAATAAAATGATTGGGTTTGGAAAGACTAGATCGATTTAATATGTTCAATATAATCTGATGACTAAATCAGATCATTTGAAACAGGACTAAGACTAAAACTACATTTTGAAAACATTAAAAGTTGACTTAAATGTAAACTACAACTGGACACAAATGTTTTAAATGAGTTTTAAAACTATGAAGGAAAAAAATAAACCAAAATGTGACTAAAACTAAAAAGCATTTTCATCTCAAGAGTAAGACTAATTCTAAAATAGCTTTCAAATTAAACACTGTAATACATATCTTAACTGGTGATATCTTAATAGTGTTTTCCCTGCCCAATCCATCATGACTACTAACAGAAAAGGTATTTGTAACCCCAACACAAATTTACAAAGAAGGGGCACACCTCACCATCACCTCACAACAAGATAACCTCATGTCTTGAATTTACAAAAGGACTAAATGATGGATAGTAACAGATGTGTCATTACATGTTTTCGGGTTCACAAACATGACATAATGACTACCTACCTTTCTCTCATAGATGGCAATCCAGTCTGTTTGGGAGAACCACTTGTGATTTTTTATGTCATTCACACCATTCTTCAGGTTGCCAAATCTCTTTGTCAGGTCTACCTGGAGCAGGTTTCTCAGCAGATCCTTCAGGTCGGAGCTAAAGTGAGAGGGAAATCGTACCTACAGGAGCCGAGGAGCCGAGCACGATCAACACAAAGACACGTTATTCATCCATATTAATATAACAAACACATGGTTGGTTACAGCATACGAAAGAGCAATACCAAACACCGGAGAAACAATGCCAAGTTGATGGTTGTGATTGAAAGGCAAGCAGATAAATGACAGAGCATTCAAATATTTGAACTCTTTGCATGTAACTATCTCTGCATACCTTGCCAGACACAATCTTTTCATAGATCTGGATCGGCTGATCAGCAAAAAAGGGAGGGTAACCAGCAGCCATTTCATAGATGAGAACTCCAAGAGCCCACCAGTCCACAGCTTTGTTGTAGCCCTGGAAGAGTCACGGACAGAAAAAAAAATCCATTATCTTCACGCAAAAAGCACCTCAGATAATGACCGGAAATGAAGGCTTGAGACATACAGAGCAGTCAGATATGCATAAAGACCAGAGTGACACATTTTTGTCTCGTGTTGGCTCTGCACTTTGCTTTAAATTGTGGGGTTTTATATTTACATCATGCAACTGTCTAATAATTGGATGTCTGTATAAACAAGTCCCCCACTTTTAGGTGGAACTGTAGGTGAGAGTTTAACATCGTTCAACAGTCGTATGTTATCTTACGTTAGCCTCAAGGGCTAGAACTTTTACCGTTGGAAACACAGTCAGCTGCTCCGGCTTGTCTCTCTCATTGGCTATTATAGTCCAGCTCAGAGAGTACTGACGTTATCATCCAGATTTGAACTCAAATATCAAACATGTTTTTGGAGGTCTAAGACTAGATCAGTAAACCCCTCACCTCATCAGATAAACTGGGCCAAACATCGATAACAACCACGGCCTCGAACCGGATTTCCCCTCCGATTGGAACTATTTCAGCTATTCATCCTGTTTTATATCTTGTACATGTTTTTAGATTTAAGATTGCTTTATTGTAAAGCACTTTGTAACTTTATTATTATTGTCATAGAATTGTGGTTACTATCCCTAAAAATAACTAGAATTCTTTTCTCTAAATATAAATGTGAAGACCCTTTAAAGCTGAATGTCATTACTTGTAAGTGGGCTGTATTGGGTACAAAGGGTTCACCTTGCTGAGGATGATCTCTGGAGCCAGGTACTCAGGAGTTCCACACAATGTCCAGGTCCTGCCTTTAACTCTTTTGGCAAAGCCAAAGTCTGTGACCTGAAGAAAGAACAATAGGAGCATGATAAGAAAAGTAAAGACGTAAAGGCAAAGTCCACATGTACTACATTTCAAACCATGATAGTCAACAGAAGCATACATCTGGTATTTTAACATCTAACTTGGATTAAACCGACTAAATGTGTTAATTCTCTATTTTGTAAGCAGTAGGTCCACCGACTCTTTCTTGGGTGTTTTCTACTAGCAGCTGATGTGTTTCCGATTACCTTCTCAGTTACAACTAATACTTTACAGACAGAACTTGTTGAAGACCGATACCTTTGCTTTTTCTATTATCAACTTCACACAGACCGTGTACCTGGATATAACCGCGTTGATCTATGAGCAGGTTTTCAGGCTTCAGGTCTCTGTAGATGAGGTCTAAGGAGTGAAGGTACTCGAAGGTGAGTACTATCTGAGCTGCATAAAATCTTGCATGGTGTTCACTGAAAGAATGGAGGGTGGGCAGTCAGACATCGGTGGCATATATGAAGACGAGTCTCTTCTGAGTGAAGGAGCAAACTCAATCATTCATTGTATAGCCGGAAAATAATGTCCGTCTCGAGCTATTCCATGACATTGACAGACCACAGTTAGCGAATTGAAAAATGTCCAGTTATTAGTGGCTGATATAGCATTTTACAATAAAAAAAAAAAAACAATGACTCAAATAATATATAATCGAAATGTACACTATACCTGAACCTTCCAATACGTCTGAGGTGAGAGAACATCTCTCCACCGGGCACATATTCCATCACCATGTAGAGGTTTGAGTTGTCCTGTTAATCAAAGCAAGACATCTTTAAGCAGGGGTCTCCTGTACCACCTGATCACATATTAAATGGTAGGTGGTCTTCAAGTAGGGAAATAAAACAACACAAAAGTGATGGTACATTATGGGGTTATCTTTTCTGTTGAGGTTGTTTTTAATTACAAACATAAAACTGGCTGGTCATTGTGAGATTAATACTATTTCAACTGTAGCACTGTGTCAGATGAACACATTGGGATTCCTTGGTGAAAAATATAAAAACGCGCGAGCAAGGACCTTGAACGCGTACTCCAATCTGACGAGGAAGGGGAACGAGACGGCCTGTAGTATCCTCTTCTCATTTAGTGTGTGTTCTATTTGCTTCAACTTCACCACCTGAAAAACACAAGGCACAATGCAAGTACTACGGTTGTATTAAGCACAGCATGTTCTTGATAACCGAGTATGTATGTGTGGCGTATCATTCCCCAAACTAAATGTAAAGCAGAGCCACAAGGACCCATGATTTCTGAGAGAGCTTTGCCTGATTAAAAAGTTAATAAGCAAAAAGTGGACATCACAGAAAGGAATGTCCTGATTTGCTATATCCTTAAGAATAAAAAAAGTCTAACATTAACTCAATCCACAGTTTCAACTGCATTACCACTCAATGACACAACACCTGGCCATGACTGTTACTGTGATGAATTACTGATAGTATATCAAGCAAGTTTTAAGCCTCTGCAAGTTAATTTGCATATGCTGCCGAAATAGCTAAAGGGAAAACAATGGCAACCTGTTAGGCAGTAAAAACACATTTGCAAACCTGTGAATGCATGGCATGCTTTGGGAAATGCTCAACAGCAATGTAACATGTATATGATTAGTAGTAGCATACAGTAGTAAGATAAGAAAAAAAACAAGACCACTGTGAAGGACTAATAAAAGTTCAGTGTACAAAGTGTGAAGACAAAAAAAAGAAGCCAAAGTGAGCAGACATCGGTGGTTATAAGGAAAGCGTTTCAGCATTACAGCTGAAACAGAAAGTCAGACAGCTTTTGCTCTTCAGTGTACCGCTACATGAGAAACGCACCGAGGACACGCTAACCTCCTCCTACGACTCTTACATCAGCATTAAAAGATCGAAACTCTCATGTGAAGTGCCTCTGAGGTTTTCAGCGATAACATTGGTCACAGTGCACGAGAGGAAAAGTTCCATTTCCTTTTACAAGATCTACTGCATTTTACAGCATTTGTCAAGCCTGCAGGAGTGTGCTTTTCACAGACTACCCGGGCTTCCTGACACTAGTTCTTTTGAGATGGGTAAAGTGATTTCTTTAAAGCCACGCACTTACTTTTTGTTTATCCAAGATCTTCATGGCGTAGAACTGATTAGTTTCTTTATGTTTGACAAGCATAACTCGCCCGAATGAGCCAGTGCCCAGCGTCTTGAACCTGTCAAAGTCATCCAGGCCAGTTGTGCTCTGAGGAAACATCGGCAGTGGAAGTGAGGACAGCAAACTGATGATTAAAATGCTTTATTTCTGCATGTAAATTTGGTGTCAGTGCAGCTCTTATGTGGCATTTTGTCTCCATGAAGCTGTGAGTAAAAACACATAAGATGGGTGATGTTTGTACAATACATGCTTTAGTGTCACAGCACAATTATGCACTCAGCTATGATTCAAGTCAACAAGATCTATGAAACCATGAAGTCCAGCGAGTTAAGAGAAAAGTAAAGTTTGAATTTTATAACGCAAAGTACACACAGGAAACAACTTACCTGTGGTGGACACTCCCATGTTCTTAAAAAATCTTCTTTGGCTTTAGCTAAGAACTCTTTCACTATAAACAGAGACAGAAGTGTGATTTAACAATCAGCATGTTGGTACTCACACGGTGTCAGTTGAGCATGTTGAGGAGAATAAACTGGGGCACTTTAGCGTGTTCAGGAAAATAAACAAAGGCAGTTCACATGTTTAGGGAAACAAATGCATTTTAAAAAAGGTCAAGCAAATGTCAAGTACTGAGGATGCAGGAATATACAAAACAGCAAAAAATACCCCCACACTCAAAAACACATGCCTAAGCAGGATATTATAATTAATAAAGTGATGCAAAAAAGCTCTTGTTGACTTTACAGAGTTGGCCAATTCAAAGACGAGCTATTCTGCATCTCTTTCAAGAGTAGATGGGAGTAAAGGAGGGAGGCAGTACTACTGGGCAGATAACATAACTGAGGCTACAGTGCAGGCATTAGAAAGACATTGTGAAAGTCACAGCAGACATGACATGTCATAAGTCACAGAGTCATGGCAGGTATCTAATGTCGTGTTGGTGGTGCATTTGGTATGCAGTTGCTGATTTAAATGCATACCTGGCATTGAAGGACTATGTGGAAGCTGTATGTTAACAGACTATCCTAACTAACCTCAGTCTTTGCAATACTTAGATGTAGGATTATACAAAGCCTGGTAGGCTTAAACTGCAGAATTAACTTGTTCTCTGTGACTTAGGACGGCTCATGGAAAAGTGAGCATACCAAAAGTCTCTACAGTTCACCCAAGGGTTTGCAGGAACATTCACCCACATGGATGGAAATGGTGGAGAAGAGAAAGAGAGGAAGAAACATTTATGAAGTGCTTAAAACAAGAATATTTGAGATTCAAGTGGTTTAAATGCAACACGTAACAAAGTGACACAGGAGAGGACAACTACCACCTGACAGAAGATACACCTGATGAAAATAGTCTACCTTTAAGTAACAAAATCATTTTGGTTGGAAAATGGATTTCTTCAATTGACTATGAAAGCAGTACTGTTGCTAAAACCAATAGTCAGGGGTTTTTAGTTGCTTACAATCAAGCAATAAGTGGATATTTCTGTCAATATGGGTTTGATTCTACACAGTAGGTCGCCTTTAATACTTAGACCTAACTTTTTCTTTCTTTATTACCAGTATTGCAGGAAGCTTTTTTTTTTTTTTTTTAAACAATCTTTCAATAAACAAAATATTGTTAAAACTACAAATATCTGTCACATAGACTATACAACAGTGATTGAAAAGACATTGAGTAAAGCACACATATATCACATTTCATACTTGAAAAACAGTACACAGAAATGACAGGACAGAGATGATGCAAGCAACTGAAGCACCACAAATGGCCCGTTCTACAACGCTTATTTTACTGGATCCGTGTGCTTGATACAAACTCATGACCAACAATGTGCATGAAAATATAAATACTCATAACCAACATTAGACTAATACACCACTTGGTCAAGCTTCTTTAAAATCAGTTTTCCGACACACAAAAACTACAAAAGCAAGCAGAGACGCGTCCGGCTCAAAGCTGCAGATGGCAGCCGACAAGTTTTAGGTGTAAAAGCAACACATCACACTTACTGAACTTATCCCACATGATGGTGAACTCAGATATATGAGGCACCTCGCTCTCTTGTCCCCTCTGCTCTTGGCTACTCTTACGATATCGATGGAAAAGGCGACTGGCGAAGGATTGTTCCTTTCCCTGGGCCATTTAGAGACAAATGTGAGTGAAAAGGCTCACAGGCAAAGTAACCGTTTTCCGACTGAAGACCAACGAGTGATACACACTTCCTGTATGCAGCCAAGTGCGTCGCAATGCTTGGTTAACCACATAAAAATGAAGCTTCCTGTTCAAGTACTCTGCTTCAGTTCAAGCAGCCAACTGCATGTCTACTTTCTCTATGTGGTGTGGAAAACACTTATTGGTCTGAAATGCAAATGGTGATGTTGTTTTTGACAAAGGTATATAAAGTACGCAAAGCACACATAAAAGGCCAGCCTCTTATGGTTATGTCAAAAACATTGTGCAGCTGTGGCGCATTCAGAGTGCTGATAAGGGAATTGGAGGCCTGTAACACCCACTGACTGACCTAGAGAGAAGTTATCTCCAGGTTATCGTGCTCTCTGGTGGTAAAGTTTAACAATGCAGTTCTTCAAAGAGCTTTCCCCTTTGCTTAAAGTCACCCGGACGAACTGACCCTAATGCTGCACACTCTTTTGTTTGTTTTGTAGTTACAGCAGTGTGAGCCCCTCTGAATTAAATACAAACAGAAACATAAATGACACCAACAATGTGTGAACAGTTTGTTTCTGTACCTGGCAGTTTGCGCCACACTATTATTGGACACAACTTTCAATGCATCCCTGCAGAAACTACAGTTACCTTGTATAACAAGGCTGCGAGACTGTATGGACTACTGCCAGTCAGAAAGCGGGTCAAGATCAGTGCTCTCCAGACAGACAGTTTAGCGGATTAGCTTGGTCATTACTGACAAACGAACACTAAACACAACACAGTGGCCTCTGGCTATTGCTTTCAAGTGATTGATGGAGCCCTTCAGATTGAGAAATTGCTATTAAACAGGTGCAATTTGACAAGGACGGGAGCTACCTCTCCTTGCTGTTGTAGCACCAAGGCAACACGTTGATGTTGGTGCGAGAAAGCAGCGATCGAGGCATAACATTTTTGATTTACAGCTGACATGACACATCAAGTGAGGGGGTTGGATAGAAAACGTTGCTAGCCATTTTGTAGCCCTTATTTTGAAAACAAAGCCACCAAAAACACCACCACCATCATCATTACCATCACTATCCTGCTTTAACCACACCACGCAGCCATCTGGTCCACTTGTCTCTCAGTCCTATCAGGTACCTGTTGTTGTTGTTGTTGTTGTTGTTGTTGTTGGCAGTGACTAGGCCTTGTGCTGCAACTTCAGTAGAAACACATTTTTGCTGATGTTATCCGGGCTCCAGGCAGCTGATATTAGCTATTTGGAACTTAAACATTGTGCTTTGATAACTTCAGTTACACGTTACAGTGTGAGCAAAAATATATAATCCTAAATTTCGTTGAGTCAAGGATCTCTTTGCATTCACTGCTGTGGGAGACCTTCAAACAGGATGGCGAGGACCTCACTGCCATTTGCTCATAGGTTACTTTTAATAACTGGCTAGGTGCATCATCTGTGGCACTGTTTCCAAGTGGGATAAGCAAACAGACACCATAACGAGGGAGCTAGGCTAACAAACCTAAACTGCCCTACCAAAGATGGTTCTTAGTTATTACTGTAACATTGCTGTCTGCTACCACTGGACAACAACTGACTGATAAAAGGCTGCACTCCACTGACTTTATCAAATGCAAACGCTGTATAAACAGCCAACGTGAGATGGCTAACATGCTAGCTGGATGCTTCTCAGGTACTCACCGCTTTCTTGCTCATTGCCTTTCTTGGCAGTCGCTGTGTTTCCCATCGTAGGAGGACAGGGCGATGCACAGCTGGCTAGGAGCGACGATGGTGGCGGTTAGCTAACAGGGTCCTCCGTTAGCTAGCTAACAGATTTCAGCTTGTGCTAGCTGGCTGGCTAACAACAACATCAATGTCTTCTCTTGGTGGACAGAACCTCGACGTGCTCTGCTAACCGCCCTGTTGATCTTTATGTACAATGTCCTTTTGCCGTTCAAGTATGCCTCCGCTGGAATGAAAACATGATCCAGACTTTTCACCTCTGCCTGCTGTCGTTTTGTGCTGCGTTCACGTCATATGGGAATACCCACGGAACAGACTTTAGTGGGTGAAATGCTGCTTTCAAGGGCCGGTCGGAAATCGTAGTGGCTCAAGTGTCACATGATTTATTATGTAAAAGTTGTTTGTTATATTCATAACAGTCATATTTAGCAATTATCTATGTAATAGACTGAATCACTTTGACTGATGTACATTGATCACTCTGTGCCTAAAATATGCCTCTCAAAACTATCATTATTACTATTATTGTTTTGTATACACAGGTCATTTTATCAATATGCATATTCATTCAAATATGTTGCTTAGTCCGGGATAGATGCTAATATTTTTAAGCCCTGGCCTCATGGGCCACCAAGCCCCTAAATGTGGTGGCTAAAATACATTTTTGGTGGCCCAAATGTAAACCTATGTAAAAACTATAGACAGAAAAGGCAATTTAACTTAATTTAACACATGCCTTCATTAACATAATGCAAATATGTAATTGTTTATTCAAATTTAAAACTAGTTATTTGTCTTCTCACAGTCCCTAGTGCATATAGGGCAGTCTATCATGTTTGCATAATACATCAAATTAAAATGAATAGGAAATAAATGATGGAAATTAAGCAGGACTGTTGTGCTGACTGGCTGTTAACAGATAAAATCTAGCGTTAAGGGATTGGTGACTTTGAGACACACAGTCTCATTTTTAAGAGATACCTGATAAAACTTGGTGGCCACAGAGTTTCGGAGAGACAATGAATGAACGCAGGAAAAGTAATAGCATATAATGATCTACTTCCTTCACATTTATTTATACAGCAAATAAAGTACTGCAGTATCTACCTTAATGAAAATATCCAGCCAATTGTAATAATTAGGACTTTTGGACCACAAAATTAAGTGATGGAAACCTTTATATTTACAAGCGTTAATTATGGTCACTGTATTTCCCATGATTCATGAATGCAGCATTTTTGACAGAGCAGAGCATACAAAGTCAATTGTTTTTGGAAGAAAACCTGCAGACTTTATTTGATAAAATAAAAACAAATGGGTGAATCCTGTGATAAGATGTATTAGTGGTCATTGAAAACTTTTCAGCTGTAGACCCTTCAGTTTAAGGTAAAATGTTTGTGATGTTATAAAAAATAAAAGAATAGGTAACTGCCAATCATTTCTTTATAATACAAATGAAAAACAAAAGTTAAAATTGTTGATCTTGGCTTACCTTTGATTTACATCTGCAAGGCTGCCAGTAATAGTGTCTCATAAGGTGTGACTGTTAATCATTAGTGCACTGTAAAATGTCAAATATGATAATTGAACAAGTTAGTTAGGTTAGAATTGAAATGTCTTAAGATGCTGCATGACTAACGGCCCCAAACTCCAAAGTAATCGTTTTTTAAATCAAGTATTTATTCAACAAATTGTTCTAGCACATCCATGAGGGATAAGGCAGGATAAAGGGCACAGTAACTTTAGCACTCCTTACTTCTACTGCTTTTGCTTTTATGTGAAACATAAAACACAAAATTTTTGGCAAATAAAAACATATAACATAAAATGTTTAACTCCATAGTTTTACCTCAACCCAACAACTCAGTTTCATGTAACATCCTGTAGAAATGGTTTCATATACCAGCCTTGATCTCCCTTGGATGCTCTTTTGTAGCAGATGTGAGCTCTGACCTGCAATGGGGGCACAAGGCCAGAATTACTTACCCTTCAAGGATCAGGAGTGTCACATCAGAATACATAGTTTTAACGAAGACATACACCTGAAGGACATTGTGTGCTGTTGTTCAGAAGTGCTTGTAAGCCAATTTAAGGACTTCATAGTCTTTATGGTGTTGAAAAAAAAATCTGTATATGAATAAATAAAAACAAATCTAAACGAACTATTGAAAAAATCCAAAGCGGCCTGATGTAATCTAATGACATGTATTTGACTGCAAAACACTGACGTTGTCAAAGATTCAATTGAAGAATTTTTTTTTTACAAAAAACGATACATTGAACTTGTTTAAAAGCTTTGTTTCAGTTCTCAGTTGACTGAAAACATGATAAATACCAAATCATTCGCACAACATCACGTAAACTAACCTAAACTGATATTTTGTAAATCACAAAGTAGGAATAAAAGTGTCTGTGACCGTTTGATGAATATCCCCACGTTATTACAGCGATAAATAGGTAACAATAACTGAATAGCACGCCAATGACCTCTGAGTGGGACGCACCCATAATCGATTGTTTTTCTTTTAGCACCATGGTCAGCGACACAGTTGCTAGGTAGCCTCTCTGTGTTTGTATCAGCGAGTTGTGGAGGAAGAGCTACGTTAAATAATGACCTCAACGGTGTACGAAATATACCTCGCAGCTTTGGTAACACTTTTGTTGTCACTCACAACTAGTAAAGAGTTGACAATGATATGAGCCGACTTAACATGTACGCCCTACAGTACACCAAACGTCAGGTTGGTACCAGACTGACAATGCAAACTTCAGCACTTCATTCAGCCCCCCCCCCCTCTCAAAGAGCGAATGGTTTAGCCCATGGATTCGCTCCAGCACACACAAGAGGACTAAAAGATACAGATTTTGTCAACCAACGTCCTTGTTCAATAGTAACGCCGTTACACAACATAAACAATGTTGTATTCTTCAGAATACTCTCGGGACTAAAGTGTTTTTTAAAAAGAGACCCCAGTGTATCACATAACGGCGGCTGTGTCGGTTGACATCAACAGAAGAGCTGCACTGCCTGGAATAAATAAGGTAACGTTAACGGGCTACTTCTCCATCCTTAGCTCGGTGGTGCTGCTAAGCTAACTGTACAGTAGCCCAGGGTCATTATGTTTCCTCTGAAACATTACACTGCATCTCATTCAGCAATTTGTTATTTCATATTGAAGCTGCAGTAAATGATAAGGCCGTGACGACATGGCTGTAACGTTACATTAGATGGTAGCAGGTTAACTGGATAGCAACATTTTGCCAGATTGTTTCCTTGTGTGATCCTTCCTCCAACTGACCTGAGAGGCTAGCAACCTAACGTTAGCTACCGCTTGCTAGCAACTTATTGATAGCAATAATTCACCTGCTTAGGCTTTTGTGACATTTCATTTGTGAGCGAAAGAAATTTCCCGAAAGACACCCACGATGCATGCGAGGTTTAAGAAATCCAGTTTGGGCTAATCCAGAAATACAGACATAGATACGTTAATGGCCTTACCATGTTGACTGCCATGCTGTGACAAGCACTGGTCCCCTCAATGCTCTTATAGCATAGCTTCTTAGCTCAGGCTATAGCTTTGCAAGTATAAAGCAATCTAGTCCTGAAGTGGTATGTGTTCTTTGAAGAGCCATCTGATTTAGGCCGGTCTGTTTGTAGTCCAGTATGCCACTTACAATACCACATGCTCATAGAGCAGCCAGGAGATTACCATTCCTAAAAGAGCAGATGTCTTACATAATAATTACAACATAACATATGAGTTCTAGATGGCATCATGCCTCCTGGACTTATCCCAGTGATGAGGCTTTTATGAAGGATATGATATGTATAAGCTTTTATTTGCATGCAAGCTAAAGTTGGCGTCCAGGATACTCATTGCACCTACAATAACTTAGCAATTAGGCTTGGTTGTTATTTGATACAAGTTTACATTTTGAATTACTTGCCATATGCACAGCAGTTGACATATAGTCGGTGTCAGCACCTAGTTTGTTTCTTTCTTACACTTTGCTCGACTTCCCTCTGTAATGTCTTTGAGTTCTCTCGTATCTAGCACAGACCCTTGCTGGGTTTGCCGACCATAAACCACAAACTGAAACCCAGTCTTATTTGGATACAATCAGACAGGATTAGGCACACATGTAGAGCACTGTTTGATTAACAGGTGAACCCATAATCATATGTGGTGATGATACATCTGCATACATGTAAAGCTAATTTGAGTGCAGTGCTTTTGAACAAACACCTACGTGTATGTTGTTTAATAAACTATAAGTTATTTATACAGGAAATAAGGCCAGGCAAGATCATAGTTAATGTAAAACTTGAATTGCATTTCTAAGGGAGTGGTTGGATTTTTACATGTCAACAATATGCCTGCATCACTGTAGATTATATCCAATAAAGTTAAGCTTAGCTTTCAGCTTTTTGTTGGTGTATTTCAGGACCCCGTGGGCTGACAGCTCCCACACATGTTCCTCCTCATATCTGGAAAAAGGCACAAAGCCAGAGTTGGGTCACTGGTTTGAGCTAATTTTAGATCCACTGGCAATTCTACACCGACTACTTTGCTGTGAGAGAGTAGCCCGCAAAATCAGCTCAATCATTTTTCCTGTTAGGACGATGTGGTGATCACAGCTAAGTGGATGATATACAATAGTTCTTACAAAAGGAATCTTGCAAGCATACTGTATTTATTTTGAACATGTACACAATTGCATTGTGCCTTTTAAATGTCCAGTGAATAGGATTTAATTTATACTATTTTTATGACAAAAGCTACCTTTTCTTCATATTCTTTTGTTTACATTTGCCTTTCAGTGTGTAACAGTACAACGTGTCTCCATTCTTTGCCCTTTTGAATGGTTATACATACCCTGAGGTCCCCGCAGTGCTGTAATGGCAAAACCGGGGCACTCCATGTACAGAAAAGAACTGCTGACATAAGGCCAAGTGGTGTTCCCCCCAAGCCTCTCTATCGATTCTGTATTTGACGTTTTCAAGATTTAGTTTCATGTAAGGAAGGGAGAACTTAAAACAAACCCTCCAGGGAAGTACCGCTGGTGGTTGAAGGTACTTGTTAATAGATGTGACACCGCCTGTCATGTCTACTGCTTTGGTTCAGGTTTTCCTTTGGCACACTTTTTCTAAAGCTATTTGTGCTGTCCTTTTGGATTTGCCTTTGACATTAAACGGAGTAGCGTATTTTTGAAGTGCCGTTGTCTTATTACAGTTGGATAATAACAGTGGGAAAATGAATTTCTTGGTAGAGTTTTGAACAAGAACTACTTTACTTCCTGATATTGTTTTCAGTATTTGTTCGTGATGTAGCCTAAATGCTGCAGAAAAGAGAGAGAGAACCATGATGTACAGTTACGTGACACACACACATTCACAACTTGTGCTGGATAATTAGGGGTGTATTCTGCATAACAACGCCCTGAAAGACAGACATGCTTTTGTCATGCATTCAGGGCCTGTGAGACAGAGAGTGATGCAGATGAGCAGCATGAAGAGCTGACTCTCTACAATGAAGCCTTTCTGTGCTGTGTGAGGCAAAGAGGGGGGAGTGCATGAGATCAGCATCCATAGCAGTTCTGCCTGTTCAGTGCTGCTCTGCTATGGTGGCCCTCTGGCTCACTCTGTTGGAGAAGAAGGGTCATTGCATCAGAGGATTAACAGAACGTTATCAGGGAAAGGACGTTATTTAGTGAAGATTCAATACTTCACTGAAATGATTAATTGCGTTGATGCGAGCAGTAAAGTATATCGGATGCAAGTTTAGAAGTCTGAACCCACTTTGTGGATGTGCTCACGTTGCATTCCTCATATTGTTACGAAAATGGCAAAAAAGGAACAAAAAATGATTCAGCATAATAATAATAATAATACATTTTATTTATATAGCGCTTTAAAAGGCACTCAAAGACACTTTACATGGTAAAAACAGAAACAATAAAAGCATTTATAATAACAACAAAATCTATGACATCATAACAGTAAGAAAGAAAAATAAACACGAAAAGAAAGAAAGAAAACATACATGACTGACTTTAGAGGTTAAAAGCAGATTTGAATAGGTGAGTTTTAAGTGCAGTTTTGAAAGTGGCGAGTGACGGAGAATGTCTGAGGTGTTGGGGCAGGGAGTTCCAGAGGGAGGGGGCAGCAACGGAGAAGGCCCTGTCCCCCCAGGTCCGATGCTTGGACAGAGTAGGGGGGGTAAGGAGGTTGGTGTCGGCGGATCTGAGGTTGCGGTTGGGAGTGTGACGGTGCAGGAGGTCTGAAAGGTATGAAGGGGCGAGGTTGTGGAGGGCTTTGTAAGTAATGAGGAGAATCTTGAACTGGATTCTTTGCTGTTTGGGGAGCCAGTGGAGGTTTTGAAGGACTGGGGTGATGTGGTCTCTGGTGCGGGAGTGGGAGAGAAGACGAGCAGCAGAGTTCTGCCCGTAATACAGTATACTATCGAGGATGTTATCATATTATAAATGTCATTATTTTCATGCTAAACATACATTGTCTGTAATGCAATTATTGCATCTTTTTCTATTTTATTAGACAGGAAATAAAATGACTGCAGCGATAGGACGGGTACGGCGTGTGACAACGACCACTGAGCTCAATTCAAACTTGTGATGTCACAACAGGATGTCCTGCTCAAGTCCCTCTATCAGTCCCTCTAATCTGGTGTCTGGTTGCACTGAAATCCCTCTTCTATCATGTGAATGCAAGTAGAACTAGGCCGTCTTTGCAGCTGATAACCACCGCTACCCATAAGACGAATGAGCGATACACGACAGAGCCTCTCTCTCTCTCCTGGGTCAACCATCAGTGCTTCAACCCTGACCGTGTACAGTAACGGTACGCATGCAAACATGC